ATAACGTGATTTTAGTCAATTAATCAACAGCGTGCCATCGCTGGTAAATAGTATCAATGGTCAATGAGGGTCTGGCTGGAGAATCTTGCCTGCATGCTCGGGGTTCCACTGATCGCCATATTTGGGGTCGGGAAGGAATTTTCCTCCAGGGTAGATTGGCAGAGGCCCTGGAGGTTTTTCGCCTTCCTCCGCAGCATGAGGCGGGGGTTGCTAGCTGGAGGATTCTCTGCGACTTGAAGTCCTTAAATCACAGAATTTGGGGACTTCAACAGCTGAGTCAAGGGAAAGAGGGTGGGTCAGCTTTTGTGGCCTGCATCATGCGGGAGGTCAGACTAGATGATCATACTGGTCCCTTCTGACTTTAAAGTCTATGAGTCTATGAGATACTGTAATGCTCCATGGCCCAATTCTCTGCTCTGGGGTGGGTTCCTTAGCCAAACTACATCTGCCATGATGCACTGTAGTCAGCTCTCTGACGAAGCCATCTGATGCACCATGGGAATCCATGACTGCAGGTGCATCATGGGGAAATGCAGTCTGGCTGGGGAGTCCAGGCTGTAGGACAGAATGAGGGCAAGAGGCATCCAAACTACAACTCCATTAAGGCACCACAGCACCAGGTGCAGGTGCAGTTTAACGTCAAAATGATTCCAAGTGAATTGCTTTGATTTGGCTCAACAAATTGAAATGAAATATTTCAGTTCAGAAACGTTGAAACATTTTGCTTTGAATGAAAATTCAATCAACATATTTTGGAACTTTCCAGTCTGTGAGTAATGTCAATATTTCTTTTTTCATCCTGAATCGGGGCAAAAACAGATGCTGAAATATCAGAAATTCTGATTTCCGCTCAGCGCTAACTCTAAGAGACAGAGGGGTAGCCGAAGTGAGGTTCTTACCCACGAAAGCTTATGCTCCCAGTACTTCTGTTAGTCTCAAAGGTGCCACAGGACCCTCTGTTGCTTTTAACTCTAAGAGAGTTCACTGGTAAATACTCTTCCTGATAATCAACATCAGATTTCCTTTGTTGCTTTCATCCCATTTCTCCTAATTGTGCCGTTCCAAATCATTCTGCTCCCCTCTTTGTGTTTACACCCACCAAATACTTGTAGACCAGGGGTAGGCAACCTATGGCACATGTGCCAAAGGCGGCACGCGAGCTGATTTTCAGTGGCACTCACACTGCCCGGGTCCTGGCCACCGGTCGGGGGGCTCTGCATTTTAATTTAATTTTAAATGAAGCTTCTTAAACATTTTTAAAACCTTATTTACTTTACATACAAGTTATATGTTATAGACTTATAGAAAGAGACCTTCTAAAAACGTTCAAATGTATTACCAACACGCGAAACCTTAAATTAGAGTGAATAAATGAAGACTCGGCACACCACTTCTGAAAGGTTGCCAACCCCTGTTGTAGACAAACAACGTGACTAGCTTTTAACAGGTTCCCTTATCTCAAAAAAGGTTTCCTCCCCTAGGAAAAATTCTTTGCCTTTTCAACCCTGCTGCCTAAACTTACTCATCTCTTCTGTAAACAGAGCCATTATTTACACAGGCCTGCACTGGTTACAAAGCAAACTGTGCTTGGGAAAGCCTGATCAATCAAAGAGAAGGCAGGAGGGTGAAGTTATATCCAGTGAGGACTAGCCTCCAAAAAGTTGCAGACATTGTACAGAGAGGAAGCTGTGCATAGGTCAGCTCCAATTGTATTGGAGGAACCAGAGCTGCTACTTTCAAACTCCAATCTCTGATTTAAAGGGAGACTGCCAAGCCAGGGATATTTGGTCATAAAGGCACTAATATTTTGCATGTATAAAGCGTCTTATTTCCAAGGATCTCCAAAGCATCATACAAATGTTGGTTGACTACACTTCACAACAACCCTGTGAGATAAGTAAATGCTGTTATCCCTGGTTTACAGGTGGGGAAACTGAGGCACGTAGCACTTAAGTGATTTTCCCAGGTCACACAGTGAGTCAGTGGCAGAGCAGGGACAGAACCCTGGAGTACTCATTACTGGTCTGTCTTAGATTTGACCGGTAAGCACAAGACGCTGCCTCCCAAGACTCTCATTAATCTGTAGCTTGCTGTTTGTAACATGTAGGTAAGCGGATTTTACTGTGCCATACCTCCCAATATTTTCAATGGCTAAAGCAGGCTGCAGCACCACTCAGGTTTGGCCTGTCGTCCCTCTCTGTCTGGAGGAGTAGAGGGGCCAAACCTGAAGTGTCGTTGCAACCCTGTGTAGCAGGTCATAATGCCACTCGGTTTGGGGGCCCTCTCAAATAGGGGGCCCAGGGCAAACTGCACTTCAACCAGGACAGGAGGCTTTGGAGGGTCAAAGTGGGACAGTTCCATAAAACCTGGGACTGCTGGGAGGTCTGCTGTGCTGGGTATATCACTGCCCTGACTGGACAGAATATCAAAGGACATTAGTCTCCAGCACTTTCAGGGCACACCTTCTATTGGCACTAAATTAATTCACAAATATGTTTCTAAAAAAAAATAAAAAAAATCACTGAATCTCATTAGAGCAACCCCGCTAAAAGCCAGAGACTGTGTTATCATAATTAGAGATGGGCGCAAATTAAATAGCAGTTCCCCATGCCCTTAAGCTCTGGGGGAAGGAGGGGCTGGGGCCTGATTCTCAGTTTGCAGGTGGCCTTTCTCTGTGTAATGGATCACATCAAAACCCTGGCTCAGACACTTCAAAACGTGAAGGTGTTTAGAGTCCCAGCTCTGATCACAGTGCATGTCTTTCCTTCCCCTTTCCTTGGTATGCTGGGGGTATGTCTACACAGGACTCGTGCTGTGGTGCTAAAAACAACTGTGTAGGTGTTTCAGGTCAGGCTCTGAAGACTAGGGTGGGGGTAGGCTGCAGAGCCCAAGCTCCAGCCCGAGCTGCAACACCTACACAGCAGTTTTGAGTGCTGTAGTGCAAGCCTGAGGCTGGTGACCCGGGGTCTGAGACTCACTGTTGTGGGCTGTGTTGACATAGCCTATGGTTCCCAAGCTGAGAACTTCCTCATACCCATTGTCTAAAGGCTATATAGATTCTCATCTTACGTTCAGTTTTTGGGGGGTATTGGCAGCTCCTTGGTAGCTCCAGGCTACAAATCTCAACTGCACTGTTCATTCAAATGCAGTGTTCTCTGGGATGTGTGAATCATCATTTAGGTTGAGAGACTGTCACTTCCTATATGTTCTTTGGCGAGCAGGCAGCTCCACATATATTAACGTATGTCACTTCTATTATGCCCTGTCTACACTGTAACTCCTACCAAGGTGGGGGACTCAGTTGTAAAGCCACAGCATGATTAAAAGATAGTTTGTTCCCACCTGCACTGCATGACTGAACTGTATTTTCCCCATCTCAGTGCATTACCATGTTGCAGTAGGTCCACCAATATCGTTGTTTTTACCAGGTAGACAGGACCTTAAAGACGATCAGCTGCATGTTGCAAGCTCAGAAAGCAGAGCATTTTCCTCTGCTCCCTCCTCTGATCGAAGTGTTTGTTGTGATGTTATCTGCTCTTAAAGGGAAACACAGAATCCTGAACCCAGGAGCAGCAGGGCAGGTACATTTTCCAATTTTGTTTTTAAAAAGTATTGTAACAAACCCCTGGGATTTCTGGTTGTGTGCCCATACTGCACACCATGACCCCTTAGAACTTAATGGAGGCAGCAGGGATAGAACGCAGATCGTCCTACAGCCAAAAGCACCCCCCTCCATACTGCTTCAACAAAAGGAGAATCTCTACAATCAATTATCAGTAGGGGGTCTATGATACAATTGAGCAGTTTTCATTCTGTTCAGTGGAGGAAAGTGATGCACATGCCCTCTAGCCAGTTCATTATGGTAAATATCCTAGAGTAATACCAGACTATACATGTAGATTTATAATTATAATTCAAAAAATCATCTACAGTATAAATCATTGAAACTTTTAATAGGAGAAAGAGCAACCTGACCATAGAGACAATATTTCCTATACCCAGTGCAGTGCTTTATGCAATTCTGACCATACCATGAGCATGCTAAGAGATGCTTTGGGCATGAACCATTAGATTTCCTCACCTTTGCAGCAAATGATGAAGTTCATGATCTTACGCTCGCTGAAAAAATTCCTCATTGTGACACATTAACTGTATGTGAAATACAAACCACCACACTGAATTCTCATTGCCGGTCTAGGTTTAATGGGCAGAAGATGGGAAATGTAAAGCTGAGACTGATGTTACACCTTGGCTTATGACACTGCAGCAAGAAAGGGAACTGTATTGTGACCTAAGCAGGGTGAGTTATTAACCATACATTTTCTCGTTGGTATCCCTTTGGTGTCCCTTTATTGCTTGGAATGATCAATTACTTTGTCCCAGACACAAACCTCCTGCACTTTCCACAATAACTGATTAGCAGGGAAACTGGTCAGGGGCTGGTTAAATGTGCTTGTCTCAACAAGCCAAATGGAAACACATTTGCAGGGGCCACTTGCCATCCTCTGAGGATTGCAGGATCAGGATTCCTCTGTTGCTTGCCCTCTTAGCCTTCAGGTCAGGGTCAGGCCAAAGGCTAAGTTCCATTGCCTGTTTCCCCTTTAACTCCCATTGCAGATCCCCCTGCAGACCCTGGTGATCTAAGGGGGATTGGGTCGGTGGGAATCAGGGGCTTCCCAAACCAGGACACGTCTCTAACTACTGTGCCCAAGGTCTGAGCACTTCTGCCATTGGGCACCTTCCGATTCAGTAAAGATGGGTCAGCTGATGTGGGCTATGTGGGGAAGAGGAATTGGTTATGGTTGTACTTGGAGTCACAGGATGAAATTAAGCAATAGTTAACTGAGCTGTATTTCAGGAAAACTTCCCACAGGGGAGATCTATAAGATAGGAATATAGTTTCCCAGGGAAGTGGTAAAAGCCTCACACCTACCTACCATACGGAATAATCCTTCATTGACAGGGACCTAACTGACATGGGCGACCTACCTGTTTTGTTTCCTCAGGCTTCTGATTCTAGTAATAAATCCCAAATTTTGCACTTCTCCCTTTGCTGAATTGATCAGTGTCCGCACTGTCTACTGCCAGAGTAACATATGGAAAATGATACACAAGCACCACCTAGAGGCAACAAAGAGGATTAAAAAAAGATGATTACTTATTCCCATTCAGCAATGAACAAATCAAGTTAGTTTACATCTCAGAGGGGAGGGGGTTTTCAGTGACCATCAGCATGCATAGAGCTGTCATAGGAACGGATTCCAGTGGGAGTTGCTGACTCTACCCTGGAGAAGAGGCTGGCAGCTCAACCATTGTGTCCCCGTTTAAATGGAAATTAATAGGTGTTCAGTCCCATTGTCAGAAACCTAGATACCTGGCAACCCTGAAATAATAGGGGGCAGTCCCTAGGCACTCTCTGGAGGCAGTGATTACACGGGAGCTGTTTTCACAATCTTGTGGGGGCTCTGAGGGCTCATGGCCTCATGCCAGCCCTGTACATTCAGTGGATGCTAGTGAGCTAATTCTTTACTCTTTGGGGATGTGTTTTGCTGGTTTTCACATGTAGCCAGATTAATCCCTGGGGTAACCCTGGTGACTCTCCCCCACAAATACCTACTAGATAAGAGTGCTACAAAGTCAAAAGAAACTGAAGATGGATTGCAAGACTCATCATTAAACCCTGAGGGGGAAATTTTCAGAAGCCCCAAAGACATTTAGGAGCACAAAACACATTGACTTTCAATTGGACTCAGGCCCTAAATACCTTCTGTGCTTTCAAAAGTCCCCCCGCCCCCATCCCCAGCCTTGTGGGAAAACTAGTCTTACAAAATACTTAATCGCTGGTCTCCAGATATCATCACATGGAAAAATGACATATAGATTGAGAGCAATATCACTTCTCGGCTCTCTGAGCTCTGGTCAAATGTAGTATATCAATTTAATAATGGATATATCTAGAGCTGGTCAAAACATTTTCACTAAAAATGGCTTTTAAGATGTGGGGGGAAATGCAATGATTTTTGCGTAATCATTTTATATCATTCAAAATTGTCCAGTTTCTCATCAAAGTAAAAAAAAATTGCTTTGAATCAGTTTTGCAGGGATTTTTTTCTTTTTTGTCCCTCCTCTTTTTCGGGGGGGGGGGGGGGAAAGAGAAAGGAGGGAATAAACTATACCAGGAAACAAAAATAATGGTTTCAGCCAACATTTTAAAAACTCTATGAGCCATTTAGAATGAAATTAAAATTGTTTAATTTTCTTTTTAATTTTTTAAAATTAATTGCCATTTTTCAACCAGTTCTAGATACATCCTTTACATGGGAGATTTAATTGCAGCAAAATTACCAGTGTGTAACACTGCTCTCTACTGGAGGAAATCAGACCAGCTTAGCAGTGGTGTTGGCCCTATAGTGAAAAGAAATTCTTTTATTTTGACCAGTAGGGACCAGGAAAACATGAGATCTATCTCACTATTACTGCAGAGTTCTGAGTGGCCCATACTAAGCAGCACAGGAAGAACCATGAAGTTCCTAAATAGTCCCGGGTATGGCTCTGAAAGTTTTTTTCCATTGAAATCTATGATGATCCAATATATTTTCCATACCGAGGTATGAGGGAGTGTACCTGAAGATGCCATTGAACCACTGAGATTTTATTCCATGGAAATCCAAAAAAATGGTGTCCATTTCTTAGACCTGGCCGGGGAGGAAGATGGCTCACTTGCAACAGTAGCACTCATCTCCTGGTTGCAATTATGTGACAGGCTGAAGTTCCACACCACATCTTGGCTCATACCCAATACTGACAGTACAATGGCATTACAATGCAGTAGTGAAGTGCGAAGAAGGGCTGCACTTTTAAAGATGACATACCTAATGCTGCCAACTCTTGCAATTTTGTTGCTAGTCTTGCAGTTTTGGCCAATATCTGCATCCGCGCATATGTGTTTGAGAGACTGAGGGGCTGACTGCCTTGTAGTGATCAAAACACTTTCTGCCCCGCAGTAAAACTGATCCTAACATCGAAAGGTGTTTGTAAACTGAGTACAAAATGGCTGCCATGTGCCCCAATACTGCTGTCTAAAGGGCTTTAGGGGGCGGTAGAAGATGGTTGAACAGGCTGTATGTAGAATTCTATGTGCCACAGCTGCCGAATGGAATCAGAAAGGTCTACACAAAACTCAGTTCCATTTCATCGTTGCCTTTTTGCTGAAAATCACACAGTGCTGATTTGTGGCAGCTATACACAGCTTTACCACTAAGCGGAGCCACACAAATATTTTTAAAAGCAGTCATAACAATTACATCCTACGTTGCAGATGAGCCACGTTACAGCGTAGTTAAATTCTAGGCTAGCAGGAGGTCATCTCATCTTAGCAGATGAACTTCTTGCACCAGTGATTGATTATTTAAATAGGCCTAGTCTTTCACAAGCTAGTTGTTCAAATAGTTCAGTGCTGCCCAGTGAACAAGTTTGTGGACCTAAACCTGCCTTTAATACTGTGCCATGTACCTGTGATGTCTCACTGGACCGAGTGTGTACTTATGCAGCTGTCAACATGGAATTGAATATTGTCATTTAAGAACACAGCAGCATATGGCTGGCCCTATGTTTTGTGAGACCTTTGCAAATTAACATTAGCAGATCCTCTTCCAGTACCCCCATCATGTCTGTCTCTTTTCTCCCACACCTCAGCATCCTGTTTAAAATATAGTGACTCTCCTAATTGTGAGGCTCTGTGGCTTCTAGTCACCTCCTGGGAAACCAGGAGAGAAAGCTGAACCTTTTGAAGCTAAGTCGGGAAGGAGAGTTAAGAAATTCAGTAAGTGGCCTGACAGAGTCAGCTGAGATCACAGAAAAGAAATCAGGAGGCTGACCAGCTGGGTACAAGCTCAGGACCCTGAGAGAGAAGGTCTCTTGTGTGGCCACATAGGTCATAAAGACCTACAGTTGTTTCTGCTGCAGTGGCATGTCACTTCAAGGAATCTGATTTTGCTGTTTGATAGAATATGTTCAGATGCAAAGATTTGTTCCTTCATCTGGTAAATGTTTCTACAGCATTTAACTGTGCTCGCCACAAAACAACAGCAAACGCCACTGGAGAACCCAGCAGTGAGCCCCTTTAGGATTTTGGCTCTGATGCTGTCCTCATATTTGACGGAATACACACACATACTTTGAGTCAAAGGCAAGTTAGCCACATTCTGGTGTCTGACTTATAACAAAGGTTCTGAAGGCTTCCTCTGATATAAAGTGTTTAATGAATGCATAATGTATGCCACATTTTCC